CTCCAAGCATGATGAGGTCGTTGAAGAATCCACTGATTGACACAGTCCCTCATAGAGTCTCCATTTGCCCAGTATTTCGCTGCCAACATATAGCTGAGGTGGTTGATTGACTTGTTCCATCTTCTGTCCTTTCATGGTTAGGGTTCTGAGTTCAGCAGTTCAATTGGGGAGATCCCCAAAGAAACTTTGTCTGAGGTGTTCTTAGACCAGATTCTTGTATGTGCTAACAAGTACAGGGCCCGGCTCAGTCCATCGCCCCGATCAGCTGGTGGTTGCAATCGCTGGGTTGGTTCTGTTTTCAGCCCCGACTTCCACTGGAACCAATGGGTGTTGCAGTTCAGCTTGGCTCTGCCCAGCACATACTCGGCCCTCACATAGACCAGTAGGAGCTGTAGCCTAGTCAGAGCGACCCACAATAACCCCCACCAGGCCCACCCCCTACCTTGGTTTTCCAGTATGTGTAGCAGACTAGTCCAGTCTGTCCCACATTCCATTTGGCTCTCGTACATGTTGATGGACATTGAAGCTTAGTTCCATCAAACCAGCTCAACTATCCAGCCCTCACGGATGTTGTTGAGTGCCTCTCTGTCTAGCTACCCCAGCCCCGTCCTAGTTTTCATGCCCTCCTGTGGGAGTGATAGCCCAAGAGGGAGGAGCCCACTATTTCCCTCCCAGGCCTCTCCCACTCCCAGATTATGCACTCTCCAGGTGGTTCTGTGGTTTGACTTGACAGAATTGGCCCCCAGTGCCAGCTTCTACCAGCTGATGCTGCGGCTAAGCCCAAACAACCTTCACCCACTCTAATTTTGTTTGCACCAGTAAGAATAATCAGCCCAGCCTGGCTTTTCCCTGATCTAGTCCACATGAGGCGCACAGGTGTTGTAGCCCTGCTTAATCTGGTCTGCCCCCATCCCAGCTCACGCTTTCCAGTGGGAGTAGCTATCCAGCAAGGGAAACCCTCCTTATTCCCCCTGCTGGCTCTGCCCCCTCCCTTCCTGGTTCTCACGTGTGCTGGTTGGGTGCTACAGTCACATCCGGTACAGGCAACCTCACCTTGGCATTCCGTATTGTGCACTGGCTTTTGTTGCGACCGATCCTACAGCAAAGGTTCTTAAGGGAAGCCTGCAGCATCTGGGTATGAATATGGTGGACATGGACATATGATGCAGAATAGGCTGGAAATGTGCAGGGTGCAGGCACAGGTGCCAGAGAAGCCAGAGCAGATGGGACTGGAGGAAGGTTCCACTGGAGAGGATGGAACGTCTGAACAGGGAGAAGACTGGAGAAGGGATGGTGCTGGAGGAGGTAGAGATTTAGGGGGTCATTTATACAGAGGGAGGTGACAAATGCCACTCAAAGGCAGACGGGCAGGGGGGAAGCAGTGGCAGAGTACTTCATCTGGAGTGCTGTGGTGGTGACAGAAACTTACACAGCCATAAAGAGACTTCATGTCCGGGACAGATGTCCCCGGATCCAACAGGACTTGTTCCTGGGACTTGGTTTCAGGTCTCCATTGTCCAGCTGTTTCTCAGTTTCATTCTCAGGCAGATTCTGTCCTCACAGCGGGAAGCTAACAGCCCAAACAGATTCCAGAGATTCTTTGGACTGGACAGTTCTGACCCAAGTTCCAGAACTGAGCTCATTAGGTTCAATGTCTATTGGAATGCTGTAGCCACAGGGCTTTCTACACTGCCCCATTGGCTGAGCCTGGGCCACTGCCCAGGCCTGCAGAAGGAGGTGAAATCACTCTGGAGCCTCCTGGATTGAAAGTTCAGGGAGGAGGGGCTAGCACACCTGGCTAACCCTTCACCTCCAAGCACCATCCTATGTGGGTACCAGTTTGTGTCCCGGCTGCTCCACGTCCAATGCAGTTCTCTGCTTACAGTTTGGGAAAGCAGTGGAGGATTCACTCACTATGACGAGCAGGTGTGGGAGGGTGGGGTCTGCCCAGCAGCAAGTGATGGGGTCGAAGGTCAAGCAGTAATGGCACTGCTGTGTGGGGCTGTGAAAAAGGCGAGGGAGGATCCTGCTGACAAAACCTGAGAACATAAGTGCTAAATAAGTTCTGTCCTCCAAAGAAAGCCTCGAAAAGCTAGCGCTGTGGTAACATTTCATCAACAAAGTGATGCTGCTCTTTGTCCTCACTGGCCTCTGCTGGGTGCCTTGACCCATGGCCTCCCTGGGAATCCTGGTGACGTGGTCCCTGCAGAGCCTGGCCCCCCCCCCGACCCAGGCCTCAGGTGCCCCCTGGATTAGGCTAAAAGCACCAAGAAAGTCAGGATCATGGGTAAATACGGGACCGGCTACTGCATCTCCCTCTGGAAGATGGTGAAGAAGATTGAAATCAGACAGCATGCCAAGTACACCTGCTCCTTCTGAGGCAAAACCAACAGGAAGTGGTGTGCTGTGGGTATCTGGCACTGTGACTCCTGCATGAAGATGGCGGCCGGCGGCGCCTGGACATACAACACCACTTCTGCCGCCACAGTCAAGTCTGCGATCAGAAGACTGAAGGAATTGAAAGACCAGTAGAGGTGCCATCTTGGAGACCTCAGCAGCCTATAATAAAGGGGTTAATTTATATTATAAAAAAAGAAAGTGATGCTGATGGAACAGAGGATGCTGGGAATGCTAATGGAGCCTACAAGACAGTTTAAAGCAATGGGCATGACTAACTAGTCTCTGGGGGAAATGTAACCACTTTGTTGTTCAATTTATACACTGCTCATTTCACAAACGCCTATAACAGCCTATAGCAATCTAAACTCTGAGTAGGAGATTGGTAAACATTGTACTCTCTACACAATGGAATGTAGTCTTGACAAAAGGTGTTATTTGACAAGATGTTCATTGTGTGGTTTTGAGAGAGAAAATCAGATTACAGTCTTTTAAAAATATTTATTTATTATTTTTATTGGAAAGTTAGGTTTACGGAGAGAAAGAGACAAAGATCTTTCACCTGTTGGTTCACTCTCCAAGTGGTTGCAATGGCTGGAGCTGAGCTGATCTGAAGCCAGGAGCCAGGAGTTTCTTCTGGGTCTCCCATGCGGGTGCAGGGTCCCAAGGCTTTGGGATCCTGGTGCATGTAAGGTGAGGATTTTAGCCACTAGGCTACCATGCTCAGCCCAAATTACAGTCTTGTTTTTGTGCAATAAATGTATAGGTGCACAGAAAAAAAAAACCTTTTTAAAAAAGCTGTATTTTATTTTTCTTTGAAAGGCAGAGTTTTATATATAGAGAGACAGAGATAGGTTTTTATCCACTGGTTTACTCCCAAGTGGCTGCAATGGCCAGAGCTGAGTTGGTCCAAAGCCAGGAGCCAAGAACTTCTTCTGGGTCTCCCATGTGAGTGCAGGGTCTCAAGGACTTGAGCCATCCTTGCAGCTTTCCCAGGCCACAAGCAGGGAGCTAGGTGGGAAGTGGAGCAGCCAGGACAGAAACCAGTACCCATATAGGACACTGGTGCTAGCAGGCAGAGGCTTAGTGTATTATGCCATGGTGCCATCCCCAGAAAAAATTGTGGAAATATGCTTGCCAGCATGTCAGTGCTTTCATCACAGAATACATTTGCTCATCTGCTGGTCTCTTTAAAAAAATATTTATTGATTGTATGGGCACAGTCACACGCAGAGAGCAATGTCTTCCATCTTCAGGTTCACTCCCCCGATGCCTACAGCCACAGATGGGCCAGTCTGAAGCCAAGGAGGAGGAATCTGCCACACAGTTGGCAGAAACCTGAGTACTTGGACCGTCACCTAAAGTCTCCTGGGGCTTTAGCAGGCACACGGGAGGACAGCAAGGAGCAGCAGGGTGAGCAGCGGCTAGACCTGCTGCCCGCTGCTGGACCCACCTGCTGAGCTCTAGATACTGACCCTGCTCAGTGTCCTCAAACCCTAATGGCCAATGTCATGCTGCCGTTGAACTGGAGTCCCAGCTCTGACAACAGGCAAGTAACAGGTTGAACCTCAGTTCAGATATCAGTAAGTGGGGAATAGTTCTTGTATCTCAGGATGGCTGTTTTTGTCTTTAAAATGTATTTCTTTGAAAGGCAGAGTGATACACTCGGGGCGAGCTAGAGTCCCCATCTGCAGGTTCCCTTCCCAGTAGTCAAAGGCAGAAGCCAGCAGCCAGGAACTACATCTGGGTTTCCAACCTGGGTGGCAGCAGGCCCGGCTTTAGGGCCATCACCTAGTCTTTCCCAGCTCAATCAGCAGGCCCCAGATGGGCAACAGGGCAGCTGTGACCGGAACCAGTGGTTTACGTGCTATGCCGTGAAGTTATCACTGGTGGCGTTTTTGATGAGCCGCTACCACGTGCAAAGTCTAGCACCGGGTCGACAACACCAAGCAAGCGGAATGGAAGTTGTATGTCAACAATCCAACAGCAAACAGGATTATTAAATCGATCAGAATTAGGTGTCCTTCTTGGTGGGAGGCAATAATTGAGACATTATTGATGACCGACAATTCGTTAGGAGTGGAGGAGGTCCCTGGTATCCAGAAGCCTGCACACTAGCAGGGAGCCAATGGAGCCGGTGCAATGAAGCTAGGGTGGCCAGGGACGGTGGTAACATCGGAGGGAAGAGGAGTGAACAGGAGAAGCACGGCCTGGAGGAGGGGAGAGTGTCTGAGCCCCCAAAAGATCCCCAGCTGCTGCAGGGGCGGAAAAGCAGCCTCAGGTTCCGCAGACAAGGCATGGAACCCGGCCCGGTGAATGCATCCTGCGCAGCCCCCTTGAGAAGTTTTCGGCTTCTTCGCGAAACAGGAGGTCACACTCCGCTTCACACGTTGCAAACATCCGGCGAATCGCCAGAGGAAGTGCCATGCACACAGCTGCTCTCAGCCTGGCCGCCCACACAACACCGGAAAGAGATGCGCACCGCACAGCTCAGAGCGAGCGGGGCGCGCCAGCCTGCGCGTGCGCGGTGGCTGGGCGGGGCCAGAGCGAGCCCGGCCGAGGCCCGCCCACCACGGCCTCAGTCCCCTCCCCGTCCCTCCCACTTCCGCAGGCACCCAACCGTGCGTGTCGTGCGTGCTGACGTCGGGAGCGTGCCCCTGTCCGGCAGCGGAGGAGACCCCGCGCAGTGCTGCCAACGCCCCGGTGGAGAAGCCGAGGTGAGTACGGGGCCCGAGGCTCCCCGAGGGAGCGGCTTCCCGGCCGGCCGGTGCCCGCCGCGCTCTTCCCCGCTGTTCCCCGTCGTCGGGGACCGGCCTGTCTCGGGCACGGCGCGAGGCCTGGGAGCGAAGGGCCGGGAGGCCGTGCGCGGCTCGCGCTGCGCCCTCCCGAGGCGCCCGGGTCCGGGTTCTGAGGGTTGGCGGGGCGCAGGGAGAGGGGTCCGCGGAGAGCTGCCGGGCCCGGGGCGCGTGCGGGGGTACCCCCCGAGGAGCCGACCGGAGCACGCCGGGGCTCGGGCGGGGTCGGGCTGTCACCGGGCAGCGGCGGAAGGAAGGGGGGGTCACACCCATCCCGGGCGCCGGCTCCCCTCCCCCCGCCGCGCGTCCCCGCGGGCTCCGGCCGGACACCGTGCGGCGGCGGGGGGACCCCGAGGCCGCGGAGAGCCGCCCGCCGGGGGTCCAGCGAGGACAGGCGCCGGGGGCCCGAGCGTGGCAGGGCTGGGCGCTTGCCCACCGGCCTCGGGCTTGCACTTCCTGCTTTGCCGCGCGCCGCCGCGGACATTTTGCGGCGGGCGGGGGAGGGGAGCGGAATGGCGAGCGCGGCGGGGCCGTGGCCGCGGGGAGGGCAGCTCGGCCACAGGCGGCGGCCCCAGGGTGGACCCGAGCCGGCTTCGCAGCCCCCCTCGATGCATACCGAGCTCGGGTCGCGTCTGTCCTTGCCTTCTCCCACCCCGGCCCTGCCCTTGCTGGGAAGGCTTCCATTCCAGACACTTCCCGAAGCTGCTCACGACCCTGGCGGGGGCCGCCTGCCTGGTCGCTCTAACTGGGGGAACGTTTTTCTTTGTTCGTGTGTGTGTGTGTGTGTGTGTGTGTGTGTGTGTGTGTGTGTGTGTGTGTGTTTCCCCTTTTAAATCCGAGAGAAATGCAGGGTAGAAGGTGACGTCATCTCAGTAAGGGGTGCGAGTTTTAACTCCAAGAAGTCGGGCCCCCCAATGCAGGCGGCGTGCCTGGTGGGGCGCCCCCGGGGCTGACCCCGCTGCCCTCCCACCGCGTGGAGGTGACTTTGGAATCCTGTTACAGTGTTGGCGTCTGAAAGCCGGGAAGGGTTCAGTCTCAGGATTGGCTGTGGGGGAGCCCAGGGTCCGCACCTTCCCCTCCCTGCAGCTTCCTTACGGGGGTCTTCTGCCATAGGACGCTCCCTGAGGCGGGAACCCCCCCAAGCTGGCCGGGGCGGAGGGGCGGGTGTTGACACAGATCGGTGTGTTTTTACACCTCGTTGTTGCTTGACACTTGTTTGATCATTGAAAACAGTTTGGGGTTTTTACAGCAGCAACAACAATCTGAATGTTCTCAGTCTTCGTGGATGACAGTGTTGTCCCCTCAGAGTGTTAGCTTGTCCTGTCGGACCCCGGAGTGCAACCGCACAGGAAGATGTCACTTTCCACAGCACAGGGATCCATTGTGTAACACGCTGTTGGGAGGGTGGTTCGTGTTGGAACACGTTCTTTCCCATTGTTTGTCATTTATATGGAGAGACCAGATTGCTTAAGACACCCTTGAAAGGAGTGATGGGTTCAGATGACTCGCTGTCGTTGTGGGTGTGACAGACCCGGGATAGGTGCAGCTGGGTGGCTGTGCAGGTGGAGCTTCGGAAATGCAGTGGTTTTTTTTCTTTTTCTTTTTTGCCTTCGTGTGGAATTTTTTTTTCCCGGAAATATAAAATTGTAAAACTCATCTGTTGCCTTTTTTTTTTTTGTCTGCTGTATTTGAGATTTTTGTATAGCCATTTGTACCTTTCCTTTTTCAACGTGTAGCTAGTTTGAAAGAGGAATACTTAGAGTCAGACAAGGAGATAAAAGAATAAACAGTCAATTATTTCGCAGTAATTTCTTCAAGAGATAAATGGTAGTACACCTTATGCTTACCATTAAAATGTTTTTGCTATTATGACCACAGCTGTGACTTATGTTTCCAGGTGGCTGTGGAGTGTATGTTATACCTCAGGGTCCTGGGAAGGCTTAATCGTCACAGAGCTGCTTGGAGCTTTGTCTCTTCAAGATTTGTTTACCTTTATTAATGTACTTTTCCCACTTTTTTGTTCTGTTAGAAAAGCATTTCTAGCTATTACTTTTCTTTAAAGATTTAGTTTTATTGGAAAGAGGTGAGACACAGAGAGGAAGATCTTCCATCCAACGATTCACTCCCCGAACGGCCACAGTGGCCGGAGCTGAGCCATTCTGAAGCCAGGAGCCCGGAGCTCTTCCGGGTCTTCCACACAGGTGCAGGGTCCCAAGGCTTTGGGCCATCCTTGACTGCTTTCCCAGGCCACAGACGGGGAGCTGGAAAGGAAGTGGAGCAGATGCTGGGATTAGAACCAGCACCCACATGGGATCCTGGCGCGTTCAAGGCGAGAACTTTAGCCACTAGGCTATCACACTGGGCCCCATTTCCAGTTATTATAAAAATGATTACAGTAGTAAAATATTTGAATCTAGGAACTGTCAGATTTGAAAGCATTGAGGTTCAGTTTATGGTGCCTGTGTGGTGAGCAGTAGTGACAAGTGAAAGTAGTGACAAGTGAAAGTCGTCTCTTTTATGTAAGTGTGTTTTTAATGCAGGTCCTTGTTGAGAGAATGAGGAGCAGGTAGTGAGCACGCCAGCTGTGTGGTTTCCCTGGAAAGGGCGGTTAGCTTGTGTTCCCTTCCCTCGAGTAGATCTCCTAGCCCCTATATAAGGGGCTGCATTCTAGGCTCTTGCTCATTGTTCTCTTCCAAATAGTGTTGGCCACATGTTTCCCCCATGAGAATTCAAGTTCCTTGAACCAGATGTATCTGGCGCCCTGGCTCACCAGCACCTTCAAGAATGATTATCAGCTGAACGGAATTGGTGGTGTCTGAGGAACCTTTTCCCTTCTGTGGGTTCCTAGAGTTTTGTGCTGTGTCTGCTGAGGGCCTTGTCAGCCAGCTCCGTCTCTGGGCTCATTGGAGTGACAAGCACTGACCTTCCTGTGCTTGACCTTGTCCATGTGCTTGGGCCTGGAGCTTCTGCAGCTGCACTGTCGGGACAGTGTACCATCACACGTAAATTATGTATCTACCTAATTTAAAAGCATAGTTACAGAGAGTAAGGGAGACAAGAGATTTTCATCCACTGGTTCGCTCCCCAAATGGGCACAATGGCTAGGGCTGGGCTGGGCTGTCCAAAGCCCGGAATCTGGAACTTCTTCCAGGTGTCTGAAGTGGATACTGGGGCCCAAGGTCTAGGACCATTTTCCACTGCATTCCCAGGCACGTTAGCAGGGACCTGGATGGAGCAGGTGTGCCGGAAACCATCGGCAGTATGGGATGGCAACATTGAGGATAACGGCATCTTCACCCGTTACATCACAACACCAGGAATCTGACAACTGGTTCTCTTTTTTTTGCCTAAAAATTATTGTCATTTAATGGTTGCTTTCTTCTGTTTGCAAATAGCAGCACTTTTTTCTTTGGTTTCTTCCCCTCTGCAGGATCAAGTTCCTGGTCATGTTATGTTTGTCCTTTACCAGATTTCACTTTTACTTACTCCTCCCTTCAGTTCAGAATATTTTTCCTAAAGCAGTTCTATTACTGACTGTTTCAGACATGTCTGCTACTGCTAATCTTGTACAAGTCTTTTGGATGTCAAAGTTTCTTCTCATTGGTCACAGTTGCCTTTGGGACATTGATCTCAAGCTACTTTGTGAAGTGAAACCAAATATTTTACCACTGAAATGATGTGTTTCCTTGTAGTTTTAGAAGAAGTATTTTTAAACGAAATACTTGGAATTCCCTGTTAGCCATAGTTCAGAACAGTTTCTAATATAGGAAACTAATATTTTCTAAGTATTGGTGCTGTGTCGCCTAAGACAGCCTCTGCCTCATGGCTGTGCTACTCCTTGCTTTTTAATGCTTTACATTCACACTTGGGTCATTTTCTCTAAAAGTAGACTTTGTATTTGCCTCTTTAATTCTACATTATGTGTTCTTGAAGTATAGTTTGCCATTAGAGTGCTTGGAAGTGTAGACTGAAAATACCAGGGTACTTTAAAAAATTTCATGGAAAATGAAAGCATTAAATTATTTTTGGGCAAAACATTTTTATGTCTATGCAGCTGAGTACGGTGATGAAAAGTGTAACTCTTTTTAAAAATTTTTTTTCTTGACTTTTAAGAATAATAGAGGGGGATGGAAGGGGAAAAGGAGAGAGTTGCTCCATTGATGGTTCATTTTCCACGTGTCCTCAGCAGCCAGGGCTGGTCCACGCGAAAGACTCCTGGAACTCCCTCCGAGTTTCCCAGGCGGATGGCAGGGACCCAAGCCAACAAAGCATCACCTGCTGTCTCCCAAGAACATGAGTGTAAACTGGATCTAAGTACCAGGGTTTGTGACCAGCACTCCTGTAGGGGAGGCAGGCTTCCCAAGTGGCCGCTGAAGTTGCTGTGCCATGGTGCAGGCTCCAGGAATGGTGATTTCCAGATGGATTTAAAGGGTATTTGTCTTGACTGTTGTGTGGGATTGCCTCATGTGTCTGTTACCTTTATTAGGAGCTATTGTATTATTTAATATTCAGGTGCTTCTGTCCACTTAGTAATAATTAATTTTAAGTTCTAGTCTAGTTTTTTGAACTTAATGGTATTTTGTTGAAAACTATGGTTACGAAGAAGTCTAGGCCAGGCTGAAGCAAGAGGCCAGAGCTCTGTCCTGGTCTCCTTCGTAGATGGCAGAGGCCCAAGTACTTGGCCCATGCAGAGTTGGCATTTAATTGGCCAAGTGTAAAATAATGGTTTATTTTAGCAAAGCAAGCTTAAGACGTTAACTCTGGCATTGAATAAAAGTGTTACTAAGATCTAGTCCATTTTTGGTTGCTGTGCTGAAAAGATTATTGCTGTTTTTCAAGGACAAGATTGAATTTATTTCTCTGATATGTTTCTTCCTAAACTCTTGATGTAGGGGATGTTCATTAGCACCATTATTGTGCAG